ATGTCTGAGTATTATGTTATAAAATCTTCCTATGAAGCATGATAATTTTTTTCTTTCCTATATTCTTTTTTCTTTTCTAATATTACGTCTTTTTCTTTTCGTTTTTTTTTTTACTTTTAAATTTCATTTTCTTAAGATGTTGGAAAAATTTTTACTATTTCCATTTTAATATTTATTATATACAAAATAAAATATTCATCAATCTTTCCAAAAATTCGGAATCATTTTAATGAATAAAAAAGAAAGAATTCGAATTTATAGTATAATTATAAACCATAAACGTAGCAAATAAATTATATGATTATATTCAGTATTCTAAATACTGTACCGGTCATTATATCGGTTCGACCAGTTTTACTGTCTATTTTACCGTTATTAATAAATATTAAATTAATTTGTTAATATAATATAAATAATGTACAAAATTAACTTTAATTAATATTAAAATTAATTAATATCTAATAACAATGTAAACATATTAAAATAAAGTGTAAAACTTTCAATTTAAATATAATAATTAATGAAAATATATTAAAAATATTTTTTAAAAAAAAAAATTGGCATAAAACGGTATTTTGGCCGATAAAACTGGTAATTTTCCGGTATGAAACCGGTATAAATCGATATTTTGGTAAAAACGGTATTTAGAGTGTAACCGTACCGGTCGGACCACTGGTATCCGGTATTACCGGTAATACCGGCCGAAACGTTACTGTATTTAAAACATTGATTATAATATTTATATTATTTTGAAATCAAATATTTTGTCAGTTAATTAAGTTTTCAAACATTCCTAAGAAAACTTTAATCTATGTATAAGTAATTATAATAAAATAATATGTCAATCCTTCACATTTTTATTTTGTGCACAATAGATTTAACAATAAAATATATACTTTTTATCTAAAACCTTTATGATTACTATCATGCTTACAAAAATATATCTATAGATAAGTTAATAATAATAACCAAATATATATTATTATGATACAACAAATTTTAAAAATGAATAGAATGCATATATGTACACAATATTTATTTTGAATTTATTTAAATATTTTTAAATTATTTACATAACTAAATAATATTAATGTGTATTAAGTATTTATCATTATATATATAGAGAGAGTTAAACTTTTATAAATGTTATAAATAATAATAATAATAATAATGACTTTATACAACAATAAATTTTCTTAAAAAATAATAGTGAAGTTTTATAATGAACAAAAACAAGTAAAAATATTATTTTGTCTATATCAAAAAATAAATATAGATGTTAAAATAATATTTATGAATATAAACTGTTATCAAGCTAACATATTCTTAAAATAAAGTTTTAAAAGATATTTTAAGAAACAAGCTCGCCGTGCATCGCACGGGATACACACTAGTTAGAATTAGGCTATGTTTGGTAAAATTAGCTGATAAGCTAGCTGATAGCTGATAAGCTAGCTTATAGCTGATAAGTAATTTTTTAGCATATAGCTTATAGCTTATGACTTATAGCTGAAAAGCTAGCTTATATGATAAAAGGTGTTTGGTAAATTAGCTGATAAGCTAGCTGAAATAAAAAAATTCAACTAGCTTATTTGAAAAGCTACCTAAAGTAGCTTATGAAATAAGCTCGAGCTTTTTAAAAAAGCTCGTCATATCAAACGAGGCTTATTTTAAACAGGAAGCTTATAAGCTAACCAAATAAGCTAAAAGCTAGCTTATTTGGCTTACCAAACATACCCTTAAAAGACACAATACAACTTTATTATTTCCAAATGAACAATAATAACCAGATTTGTCCAAATAAGAAACATAAACCAAATTCCGTCTAAAAGGCATTATAACAAAAGTGTCTTTTAATTCCACAAAATGTCCAGTACTTAATAATAATTTAAATATGCCCACAGCTTCCACATCCACTGATTCACCATTTCCAAAGTAAATGCGTCTTTCAGCATCAGTTGGTTTTCGGTGGCTTAGGCAACCCTGGATTCAAACACTGATGTTAGTAGTTGAACCAGAGTCTAACCACCAAGTGTTTCGAGGTACTGAAGCTAAATTAACTTCAGAACAAACTTAATTAAAGAATGTACCTTTCTTCACGCACCAGGCGGAATACTTAGCACAATTTTTCTTTAGATGTCCAGATTTCTTGCAAAAGAAGCATAAAATCTCCTCCGGTTTACCCTTTGGAGCTGGACCCTTAGCAGTCTCAACCTTAACGGCCTTATGCTTTCTTTTAAAGCCACCAGCATCATTCGAGGTACCAACCATATGTACCTCATCAGCCCTATTATGCTTCATTATTTCTTCTTCCTCAACACAGTGAGAAATGAGCTCATTAAGAGTCAACTTCTTCTTTTGGTAGTTGTAACTGACCTTAAACTGATCGTATTGAGGAAGAACTAAGAGCAGGACCAATAGGACAAGCATGTCCTCCTAAAGTTCTAACTTTAGTGCCCTCAATTTAGAAGCAATATTGGACATCTTGAGGATGTACTCCCTTATATTGCTTTTACCGAGATACCTCATGGTAATGAGATTCTTTAAAAGAGTACTCATTTCCGCCTTATCGCTTTTGTTAAAGTGCTTTTCTATCTCGACAAGAAACTCTTTAGCCAGAATGATATCATCAGATATCATTCCCCGAAAGGTTTCTGGAATGCTTTTCTTTATAATCATAAAACTTAGGCGATTAGACCTTTCCCACTTCTCACACTGTTTTTCCTCAGTAGTGCTGTTCTCCGTAAGAGAAGCATGTTGGTCTATCCTTTATGCCAAGTCTAGATCCATACAGCCCAAATGAATCAAAATTGATTCTTTCCAGTTCTTAATGTTATCCCCAGATAAAGTGGAGACTGGATAGTTGGGAGATACAATAGATGAAGAACCTGATGAGAATAATAAATAGAGATACTCACATTATTATCCATAATTAATCATTCAAACCAAATATGGTTTAAACCCATAGCAAGATACCAAGCACAACATTAATATTATATCTTTGGATAGTAATATTAATTGTAAGCGGTACTCTTGTTGTAATAATCAAATCTTGACAATAAATTCTGTCAAACAATAAAACTATCTTTTGATAGAATTATTGTTCACATGAAAACTTTATAATTGTCACAGATTCATTATCACGGGTATATTTGTAATTCTGCCATGTGTCAGTTTACCCTTGGGTTAATTAACACACGCATGAATTACAAAATACAACAATTTTTAGTATTTAAATGGATCAATCTACACAAACGAGGTCACTTTGGCAACATTTTGTTTCAATTAATCCATTTAAATTAAACATGAAGTGCCGAATATATAACTGAATTTCAGCGATCAAACTTTAATTTGGGTCCTAAATAATAAACAGACACTAAACATTATTTGAATTACGAATCTTCAATTATTAGAGTCTGTCAACTTCACAGACCCCAACATAATTCAAGGCTTTCGAAATCTTCAGTCATTTAAAAATAACAAAAATAATATGGCTTGAATCCCATTATCACGAATTCAATTTCAATAGCAAATAAAGCAATTTCAGATTCTAAAGGAAATAAATAAATCATGAGTATGGTCAATCCATCACAACAGAATCCAAATTTGCCACTCAAAGGTCTTTTGAAAATGAATCCAAATTAACGCACCGAATACTGACACATTTTTTTTTTTTACTCAAACATCAAATTGGGGAAATGATAACATGGGGAGGTAACACATACTCCCCTACAAGACCACATGGCCATGACACCACAAACTACACCCTAACAACAATACAAACCAACCTATCTACAGATCATCCACAAACACAGATTCACTAAAATCAGACAACAGTTGGAAAATGTCTTCTAGCAGCGCTGAAATAGAGGCATCAAAGATCACCCTGCCCTTGAGCCATCTTCTCAACTGTTTATTATTCACCTGGATATGCACCTTCTGTCTCTCTCTGCCTTCACACTTCAACAGCCAATCCCTGAGCTGAAGGAGTTCCAATTCCACTGAATACGTTGAGGCATTCCTAGAATCAGCCCCCTCCATGCACAACACTTTTGGTCCTCCTACTGTCCTGTCAGCATTTTCCCCCTTACTAGGATGAGCATTAGCACTGAATACAGAAATCTGTATCCCTATTCCTTGATTTATCCTAGAATGAGTATTTATATCACTATCCGCAGAGGTTTCTGTCTAAGCTTTGCACCCTCCTTGCAAGTCCTCATATTGTATCCATTCCCTCTGAGCTCTTTGGCCAAGCTGTCTTGCATCACAATGTTCCTTTTTAAATAGCTAATTGTTCCTCGTTTTTCATAACCACCAGGTGGATAGGGTGGCCCTGTTTTGATAATTATCTGCCTTCTTTAACTGACATACCTCATCCCACCAGACCCTGAAATCAGCTGGCTCATATTGCAGTTTCTCCCAGAAAAGCCCTGCAAGTTTCCATACTTGCTTTGCTCTGACACATGAGAACATCAGGTGTTTAAGAGTCTCCTGTCCCTCCCCACACCAACATCATACTTCATCTACCTTTACCGCTATGTGCCTCAGATTATCTGCAGTGCTCAAGCAATTAAAGTAACACCTCCAGATGAAATTTTTCACCTTTGGCTGATAGGTAGTCTCCATGTAACCTTCCACACTGCCTCTTGTAGTGACTGGCCTTTGCTATTCTCTTCAGAGCCTTTGACCACCATCTTCTGCTTCCGAATGGCCTTATAAGCACTCTTCACTGTGAATATGCCTTGCTTGTGGGGCAACCAGATCAATCCGTCTTGTCTCCCCACTTTGCTTGTATGAATCTTGAGTATCTCCTCTGCCTCCTGGGGACTGAAGGTCTGCATGATCAGGTCCCTGTCCCACTCACCTCCTCCTACAAGCATTAAATCAGCCACTTTGCCTAATCTAGTTTTATCATCAGGAAAACAACACTTTGGCATAAATTTAGAAACAGTTGGAATCCAATGTAAATTCCAGGTGTCTATGGTTTGACCATTTTCCACTACATAGCATGCCCCTAATTTCATAGACCCTCTCACTTCTAGGCATCCTTTCCACAACCAGGAGTCACTGTTCTTCTTGGTCACCTCCATGAACTTCTTCCTGTGGCAATATCTGCCTCTCATTACTTGGCTCATTATGGTGTTGGGCTTTGTTATCATTCTCCAAATCTTCTTTAGGATGAGAGCCTCATTTAAATCCCTGAAATTCCTAAAGCCCAACCCCCCTCCCCCCCGCACTCTTAGGCTTTGCTAATTTCTCCCAATTCATCCAGTGGATTTTATTTCCACCTTCTTCATTACTGCCCCACCAAAAATTTGCAATTGTCTTGCATAAATCATGACAAATACAAGCTGGTAATTTAAATACAGACATTACATAAATAGGCAAAGCTGCCAGAATGGTTTTAATCAACACTTCTTTTCCTGCTTCACTTAAAAAATTGTTTTTCCAGTTTGTGACTCTAGCTACTACACACTCTTTAACAAAAGAAAATGTATCTTTTTTTTGATCTCCCTATACCCAAAGGAAGCCCCAAATACTCGGAAAATTTTGCCACAGCAACACCTTTGAGGATTTGGCAGATCTCAGATTTTAAGGAGTCAGGGGTATTACTAGAGAAAAAAATATTGGATTTATGCATGTTGACTGCTTGACCAGACATAGCACAATAAGAGTTCAAAATATCCAATAACAAAAGAGCATAGGCAGAATCTGCTTGGCAAAAAATAAGGGCATCATCTGCAAAAAATAGATGGGAAATACTAGGAGCATATCTACCTATCTTCAGTCCCCTAAAATGATGGGCTGAACAGGCTCTATTAATTAAATTAGAAAAAGCTTCAGAAGCTATGATAAATAAATATGGAGACAGAGGACAACCTTGCCTTAGGCCTCTAGAAGGGAAAACTTGGCCTAAGGCTTGATCGGACAAATGAAAAGAAAAGGAAGAGGAACTGATACATGCCCAAACCCACCTCAAGAATTTTTCACAAAAACCCATGGACCTGCACACTTCTATGAGAAAGTTCCACTCGATTCTGTCATAGGCTTTTTCCATATCGAGTTTGAGGGCCAAAAAATATTTTTTGCCTTTTTTCCTACTATTAATAAAATGCAAACACTCATTAGCTATAATGATATTATCAAGGATCTGCCTACCTGGCACAAAAGCTGACTGGGAGTTAGAGTTACAACAGTGAAGAACATTTTTCAATCTGTTGGCTAGGATTTTAGCAATCAACCTATATGTAATAGTGCAAAGGCTAATAGGTCTCTAATTAGTGATGGTTTTGGGATTTGTAATTTTAGGAATCAAGGTAATAATTGTATGGTTTGTGGCTCTAAGTATGCAGCTAGAATTCAAAAAATTGGTGACAGCCGAAAATAAATCATGCTTAATAACATCCTATGAAGACTGGAAAAAAAGGGGAGAGTAGCCATCAATACCTGGGGCTTTATTTGGATCCATGGCCCACAAAGCAACTTTTATCTCCTCCTCAGTCACTGGCTTGGTAAGGTTCTTATTCATTTCAGTAGTTATGGACTTTGAAATCCCCTGCAATCCTTCCCTGTCAACCCCTTTATTTTCTGAAGTGAACAGATTTCCAAAGTACCCTGTGATTTCCTCCACTACCTCCTCTGAACTCTTGCA